CCCACTGCTAATGCGTGAGCTTGTCCCATGGGGCGAACAACCGCAGGCATGGGGGATTCGGGATGCTCCACGTGCCCAGGAGATCTCCCCCCTGCCCAGGGCCTTCGCTCCTATCCCTCTCCATGAGTTTTTCCTCCCTGCTTCCTCGGCAGCACCCTCCACCGTCCCCATCATGCACCAGGTGAGTGCCACCATGAGGAGCATCACGCTCTCCTGGCCTCAGCCCGAGCAGCCCAACGGCATCATCCTGGACTATGAGATCCGCTACTATGAGAAGGTGAGCCGCATCTGCACGCCTGATGTCAGCAGCACCGTGGGCTCCAGGCCGGCAGCGGTGAGCTTGGGTGGAAACCTTGCGACGGAGGGTGGGATGGGGCATGTGGAGCTTCGTATGGAGGCTGCTCAGGTCCTGAGCTCACTGGGAGAGGGCGAACATCATCAAGCTTGGAGTCAGGCTCTTTGCTGGGAAGGGTCCGGGCGGTGGGTCAGGCCATGGGATGGGCACCTGGTCGCCCACGCTGGCTCTGGAGGGTGGGAGCGATGTGCAGCCAGAGGATGGGAAGCGATGTTGTGGCTGCAGGTGCTAATTCCTCCCCCATGGGCAGCGTTTTCTCCAGCACATCAGTGCCCGTTGCTGCCTTGGCTTTGGTATCTGCTAGGGTGAGCAGGGACCCGGGGCGGGGGGACGATGTCAGGAGGAAAGGAGGGGGACGGCGAGGACTGGGGAAGGTTATCAGGGTTGTCCCTGTCCCGAGTCACTGCCTCCTGCCAGGTCTTTTTTGCTGGCAGCCGTCCTTCCCCACGGGGGACACGCTCTCGACCCTTGCGGCGAACCGTGCCGAGCCCAAGCTGTTCCATCCCTCCCGCCTCTTGCCAGTTTTAATGAATTCCTCTAAATGTGAATAATTAGATGATCTCACCAGTCCCTTTATGGCAAATCACCGGGGAACGCAGCAAAAAATGAGATTTGAGACGCATGAGGTTTCCACCAAGGCACAAGGAGCCCTGCCAGCAGAGCGGGGACCGTAGGGGCTGGGGCTCTCAGCAGAGGCAAGTTGCCCTTGAACCTGCTCGAGCAGGGTCTCGTAGGGCACATTGTGGTACTTCCATAGCTGCAGGACGTTTCTGAAATGTGCAGGGACATCAATGGTTTGAAGAGGAGGAATTCGCTGCTCCCGAGCATTTTTGCTCCAGATGCTCTTACTCGTTCCCCCGGCTGCTCCCCGCTCTTCGCTGTGGTGGGACCGGGGGGGCTGCCTGTGGGGCACATGCTGCGGGGACCTCCTTGGCTCCTCAGAGGCCAGGCAGACCTTGCAGGTCCTGTTCCTGCAGGATCCTCCATGTCAGGGATCGAGGGCCACCGGGTCTGAGCCACCTCGCCCAGACTCCAGCGCTTGTCCTCCTGGAGCAGAACCGGGGCCACCGCTTTATCCCCTTGCAGATAAACCTCACCCCTGCCATTGACTCGGGCTGCAGGGCACGTCGTCCCCACCACTGTCCCCCGTCCCCATTGACCATCTCTCTTGGCTGTGCCCGCAGGACCACAACGAGTACAACTCCTCCATGGCCCGCAGCCAGACCAACACGGCCAGGATCGAGGGGCTGCGACCCGGCATGGTGTACGTGGTGCAGGTCCGAGCCCGCACCGTGGCCGGCTACGGCAAGTACAGCGGCAAGATGTGCTTCCAGACGCTGACGGACGGTGAGTCCGGGGAGCGAGGGGACAGGGAGACAAAGGGGGTGGTTGTCTTTCCGGCGACAGCTTTGGCCTTTAATTGGATTAAACGAACTTGTCTCTGCAACCCTCCCTCCCGGCGGGCAGCGTGGCAAAAGCCAGGTAATTTACAGCGATGTCTTATTAATTGCCAGCTGGAGGAGTAATCCGCTTTAAACCTCTGAGCTCTGTTTTCTCCCCCGCTATTTAGCTGCAGTTTTGTCTTTCCTGCCTCTGATCGCGGTGGCAGAGCCCCCCTGCCACCGGCTGCAAGGCCAGCACGGTTGGGGTGTGGGGAGGAGTGGCGGGATGGACACCCCGGGAGGATGGGATGCCTGGCATGTTCTCCAGGGATGCTCTCCTGGGGAGCTCAGAGCTGCCTCTGAGCCATCAGGGCAAAGCTGGCAGGGTCAGACCCATCTCTCAACGCTGATTCTCCACCCTGAGGTGCTGTGTCGAAGGGAAAGGGCCCGCTCACGACCTTCACGCCTTCTTCTGGCCTCCTCACCAGAGTCGTGCTGTTATTCCTCTGGCCCCAGCCCTTCCCTGCACCTAAAAACCCCAGATCCCTTCAGAGACTAATAACTCATGGGAGGGTTCTTCATTAATCCCAGCTTTGGGACAAATCCAGAAGTCGGTGAGTGAAGCGAGGCTTCTTTTGTGGTCCTGCTACCCCGCCAGACGCTGGGGGAGCTGAAGTCCCTGCAAGGAGCCCCTTTGCCAGCATGGTTCCTGCCCAGCTTAGGTGACACCCATGGGTCCCAGCCCTGCTGGCTCTCTTTCCTAAAACTTTCTTTCTTTCCTAAAACTGGGTCACCCCGTGCTTGCACTCGTGTCGAGCGCCAGCCGGAGTGGGAAAGGAAAACCACGCAGGGTGACCAAAGGGAAGGAAATGGTAATAAACCCCCGCAATGCCTCGAATATTCAGGATTAGAGAAGCGAGAAGAAAAATCCTGCCTCAAATAAGCAATTAATTGAAATTTAATAAGAATGGATAGTGTAGATTATTAAACAATAATTGATTGTTAGATGAGAACTTCTCAGGATTTAAGCAGCATGCAAGAGATAAATCTAGTTGCTAGTAATTAACTGCGGAGTAGAAAAATACAGATAAAAGAGTGCTAAAGGCCTTCTTTTAGAGTGAATTTTATTTTAACCCTCGCTTGTGGCTGCAGGCACAGCCTGGCATACGTTGCGGGGGATGGTTGGAGAGGGGGATGTTTCTGGAGGGCTGCAGAAGCCCCCAGGAGCGTGGGGTCTGCCGAATACTGCCCACCGCGGGTATCCACACCGCTAACGGGGCAGGGCAGGAGAAGGGGAGAATGGGGGGAGACGCACGGAGGTTGCAAGTGGCTTTCTTGGGGTCCCTCCAGGCATGTCCAGTCCTCCCTGTGCCACCTTGGCTTTCACCCCAGCCTGCTGCTGACGGACGTGGGGGTGGCTGAGGGGACACAGGGGGCTTGAGGGATGCTCGGTGAGGAAGGGATGCTGTGGCTCTGCAAAGGGAGTTGGCTCATGCCATTTGTCAAGATGTAAAAACCTACAAGCAGACCTGCAGCGAAGGCGCTCAGGTTCTCCCGGGCCTGCCTCTCGACGTTAACATGGTGGACTCTCCGGTGTCTGATACAGGTGAGGTCCTGGCACAGCCTTCCCCAGCTGGTTTGGTTATTAATGGGGTCTCTTCTCTCCCTCCTTTCCTGGAATGTGTAGGAACTTTGTGTTTGTGAGACCCCATGTTAAATTTGGTCAAAACAACCAACAGGTTTAAATTTATTGAGGGAAGAGGCATGGCCAAAGCCACCTTGTGAACCTCGTCTCTTTGGGAAACTGGGCCCATGCACATTGATTTGAACTTGATTCCCAAGACCTTCTCTTCCATATTTTTAACCCGAAGTACGTGTGAGCCCAATGCGACGATTCTTCCCTGTGCAACGCAGCACCAGCTCATCACCTGCCTCAACCAGCGTTCCCTCCTGGATCCCCCTTGTCCCAGCACCTTCCCATGGGAGCAGCACCCACGGAGTCAGAGGGGGTTTTGGGAGACCCCTTCCCAGGAGGCTGCTCTTACTCCATGGGCGTGCAGGGGAGAATTCACCCTGTCCCTCTTCTCTTGCAGATGACTACAAGTCGGAGCTGAGAGAGCAGCTGCCTTTGATTGCGGGGTCCGCGGCGGCCGGGGTGGTCTTCATCGTCTCACTGGTGGCCATTTCCATCGTCTGCAGCAGGTGAGTCTTCGAGGGATGCTGTCTCCCTGGAAGGTGGAGGTGATGAGGCGCAGCTGGGAGAGATTTAGGGTAGAAAGGGAGGGACAGGTGAAGCCAGACAGCGGGACGGGGCGCCGACCGGCCGCCGCTGGCAGAGCATTGCTGGCAAGGGAGCGGTTTGGGGCTGTCGGCAGCTGCTGGCTCCTCAAGCCCTTCTGATTTCTCCCCTCTTCTCCCAGGAAGCGCGCCTACAGCAAGGAGGCGGTGTACAGCGATAAATTACAGCACTACAGCACCGGGCGAGGTGAGCAGGGGAAAGCGGGCAGGGGGAACCTCGTAATCCTGCACCCGGCACCTGCCCCGCTCCTCCGCCTTTGGATGTGCACACTGGGGGGTGAAAGCCCCATGGGGCAGACAGAGAGGGCCATGGGGTGCCAGCAGAGATGTCCACAGCCGTGTGTCGGGGTGCCTGGGGACATTTTGCAGTGGTGCAGCATCGTGGGTGGGAAAAGAAGAGCAACAGGGAGGGGGGGATTTGGGGGATGGGGATGGATTTGGGGCAGAGGGGGGATGTAGTGGGCCAGGGGATGGGGAGAGGATGCTGTGAAGACTCCCAAAGGAGGAAGGGAAGGAGAGAAGCAGTATGTGGAGCGGGGATGAACTCCCGATCTCCTGCCACCCGCGCTGCCCGGGGCAGGGTCAGTACTAGGCTGCTCTTACCGCTAAAGGGACTCTGGATTTTGGGAGCGTGGCTGGAGAATGGGGGCTGGTGTCCTGGCCACACGGCTGATGCTTGCCCTGCACCCTGCTCTGGGAGAGATGTGTGGCCAGTGACTGGGAACGTTTAATTGGCTTTGGGCCGCTGATCCCCTTGGCAAACAACTAGGAGAGCCTGAACTTGAAGGGCCTTTTCCTAAGATGCCTTTGCGGTTGGTGGAGCTGTGCACCAGAACAAATTCGAGGTGTCTGTTGCGTATGATGTGTGCTCAGGTGCTCCTCCAGCTCCTGGCAAAGCAGCCGGTGGGCCGTTGTGATTGCTGGAAACGATAATAAAGCAGCAAAGTAGCAGCTCCAGGGGGTGAAGCGTTGCCAGCAGGTGCCCGCAGGCTCCGTGCCCCGTCCCCACGGGATGTAAATCCCATTTACACTCTCTTAGAGATGCCTCCCAGGTGCATTTTGCTGCCTTGTGGGAAGAAATCGCCCCTGGGTCCTGGGCACCCACTCGGGGAAAAAGGATGGCGGTGGAAAGCAGGGATGGGTGAAGGGTGGCTGGGAAGGGGGGAGCAGGATGGGTCTCTTCTGACCTTCTCCGCTTCAGACCAAACCCTCCAATGTGACGGTGGGGCTGCAAGGGGCCGTAAAACTCCCAGCAAGCCATAAGCTGTTTTCCAGACATCACCGGGTGATACTTAAATAGGATGGACCCATGCTATTCCTCCCTGTTTTCTTTGCCCTTTCTGCACCCTGTGCAGTGGGGGAAGATTTTATTTGATGCCTGATGGTTAGATCAGTGTCAGGCTGCAGGTGGGCTTATTTTTCCCATTTTCCCCCTGCTTCGAAACATTCCCCACCCCGCGTGCATCCCTCGCCCCAAGCACCCAAAACCCAGCGTGTTCAAACCAGGCAGGAAAGCAATGAAGCGGGTGCCTGCATTTCGTTTGTAAAGCTGGGCGATGTGAGGGTCGGTGCCCGAAAGCCGGGGGGTGCTGGGGCTCCCGGACGTGCAGCAAAACCCTTTCAAGGTTAGCGAGCCTCCAGGCGCTCGGTTATTGCAGACGCTGGAGCAAAAACAGGTGGGAAATTTGTGGCGAGCGACTAATGGCGTAACGAGTGCGTCCGCCGGAACAAATCGCCCACGTGTTTAAGTGGCACGGCAATTACAGCCTCCCCGGCGCAGCTCTGCCGTCCC